AACGGGAATCTGCGCCGCAAAAAGGTATAAGGCGGAGCATGGAGGAATTAGCGTGTTTCACGGTCCTGTATCTCCATTCCTGCGCATGTTAGGACGGGGAAACCGCTACGCTTCGACAGCGGGGGCTGATAGTCACAGACACCCAAACAATGTGTGATCTACCATGTGTCTTAACAAGGTCTTTTCACCGCTAGCGTGCCACACGAGTTATTGTTGTCGCTATCACCGAGATTTAAACTTGAATAATTGAATTCAATTCAACCAGATGAGGCGTGAGCCGAAACGTACGGAGCACACAGGCTATGCCCGGTCCACCGTGGGTGGGGTGGATCGAAGAATGCTATTCTAGAGATAAGAAGACTCCATTTGAATTGAGTGTATCTGGCGACTACAAAGACACCCCCACAGTGCTTGGAGCGCGCCCTTTATGTAAAAGATAATTTTTCAAAAAAAGTCGTTTTAGTGGCGTTGCTGAGGGTGAGAACGAGGAGCCGTTGACTACTCTACGAGTGACACTTGGTGCTATTGAAGGAGAGCTTCCAGTGGCCGCACATTCACTCCATGATGTTGTGATGAGACATGGTCCTCAGGTGAAACGAAATGCTTTGTGTGATGATCGGGTTCAGAGAGAAATGACGCCGTCATCGCATGGACGACGGGTAATGATCATTGTGCCTCTCTCATAAATGCTTCGTGGTGCAAGCCATGCACCGTCTTTGGCATTTTAGAAGAAAGGGCTTATCAACGAAGAAGGCACTATGGTTACGGGTCTCTGCCTATCTGCTCATTGTGAAATGGGTATTTAAACGGGAAGTTGTCAGCATTAACAATTGTGATTACTTTTGTTACAGCTGGAACAGCAGTTCAATCGCCTGAGTGCACAGCCGGCACAGCCAACGCCGAGCAATCCTGACTCATTAAAGGTCACTTTGTTTATTTTTAACCATCAGTGAACCTCTTCTCAATAGAAAAAATTCCAACGAGGTTCTGTTCAGGAAGTGGCAGTTGTTGAGCCGGCACGGGTTGCTGCTCCATGGCAACAGGAACAGGTTAAGCTAGATGATGCTAAAAAACCGCTTCGACCGCGCACTCCCATAATGAAAATCAAGTTTGATTTTGAAACGTCCAACATTGAACTACGAGCACGTCTTCTGCCAAGTCTTCTGGCACGTTACAAGCTCAACCGAGCCCATAGCAGTGGAGTTACTGGTGAGTAGTAGTCCGTATAAGGGGCTAATTCGTTGTAGAAAAGGATAGTTGCATTATGATCGCCACAGTTGATACGGGTTCATATTTTGTGAATGGGGAGAGTCCACCGTGTAAAGGCAAAGCCCGCGACCACAGACTGTGGGTAACGGAACCCACATAGGAACGAAAAAGGGCTAGGTATCTGATTAGCGGAGAAAAGCAGCAGAAAAACAGCCGAAAATGCCCTAAATAGGATTCCATATCGACCCCAACTTGTACATGCATGCAATGAAGAAAACGCATGTTTGTACGAAGATATCAGCTCTTTTATCGTATCACCTCACTCTCACCATTCGGAATGGAGAGAGATAGCATAGTGGCTACTAGCTAGTAGCTAGCAGCCGGTGGGGGTCGGCATGGGCCTAAGGGGCGCCCATGGGCCTAATTGGTTAGCTTAAAGCGGAATTCTTGCCGATTTTCACTTTCTAAAGGTAGCGCAGCCTCCGCAATCTCCTTCCGGATCGTCTGACACATTTGAAAGGTCATAGCCTTATTTTATCGCGGAAAGTGGCTTTAAGAAAGCGTGGGTGGGAACGAGTGTGAGATTCCGAAGGGTCGGCAACAAGGTTTCATTCGGGGATCAGTTGGTCCCTTCCATTAGTGAGCCGCGTGCTCCCTCGAGGGCATTGTTCACACTTTGCGATGATACGCGCCGACGCGTTACCTCTTCGTCCGTCTCAAGTGCTCTTGACGGGAATGCAGCCATAGCGGGGTATGATCGGTGCCGACCGCTACCGCCCTGAGAGAGAGTGAGAGAGAGAGAGTATAATAGAGTAGGAGAACACGCGTTGCCTATTCGCTGGTCCGGTATCGATCGTCGCCGGCCGTTAGTGCTCTAAGAGAGTATAGAAGAGTAGAGGGTTGCCAGACTAGGTGTTTAGGCAGTATAGAAGAGTAGAGGGTTGCCAGACTAGGTGTTTAGGCAGCGTACAGTCCTCATCATTACGGACTGTCGGGGCGGCACAGCCGCGCTGCAATGTGACGCGACAGCGGCTGCGGCTCGGTGACGGAATCAGCTGATTTCCATGGAATTCGGCTGCGAATTCCCACTTTTTCAACTCTTCAAGCTTCGAAAGTGGAAGGTGAACAATTTTAAATTGTACTGACTCTGAATGAATCTGAAAGAATGTAAGCCATTTGAATAAATGCCTGAAATAAGGCAAAATACAAGGAAAAGAGCATAATAATCGACATAAAATAAAGGAAATCAGAGCCAGTACAATTCAAAATTGTTCAGAATAACTCACCTTCCACTTTAGAAGCTTGAAGAGCTGAAAAAGTGGGAATTTGCAGCCGAATTCCATCGAAATCAGCTGATTCACCGTCACCGAGCCGCAGCCGCTGTCGCGTCACAGTGCAGCGCGGCTGTGCCGCCCCGACAGTCCGTAATGATGAGGACTGTACTGTTCCCTTATATTCTGCCTCTATCGTATCACACTGTGGTGGTCGACCTTGGTAGACACCCGTACATGGCCGCGTTACTACCTGCACCATTATAGCGCGGTTATGATGGTAGCGCATCTTGCGCGTCATCACTAAGTCTGAACACTGCTGAATAGTGGACTCTGCGAAACGCCGCTGGGCGGCGTCTGTCGACTCCTGTCTGGTTCTTCAACTCCTGTTCTACGGGCTTGTGGGATCGCCACTTTTGCAATACCAAAGCGAATAGCTGCCTCATTTTACATCAACAAGTCCCTTAGTGAAACAGTTGACCGCGTTGGGACCACACCCGCCAGTAAATCGCCGTGTGTTCCCTCGAACGCAGAGCTTCCGTTTAGTCAAGTGTGATGAATACCTTCTGGTTTAGTGATACTAATTTTGTCTATTTTCAAGGCGATGAGGCTAAATGGACGGCTACCATACAGCACCATTATGCAGAATTCTGTGTGTCATCGGCTGGTAAACCGATGGACACATTTACGCTAGCATTGCCATCAGTTGGTGTTAATGGAGAATACACTGTTGACAAGGAGGGAACGGCACCAGCAACAAATAAGGCGCTTCTCTACCGCGAGGGAGGCTACCTGAAAGTCACTATCACGCTAGGTAAGTTCACGATTTCAAAGATACATTTCGCCCTGCCTATAGGGTGGGATCCTTTTTGCCTACAAAATGGAAAGGTCCGCAGCAACAGAATTGTTCCATTTTCGTCGTGTGCAAACTGTATGGCCAAAACGAACTTAAAGGGATGTGATTGTTTGACTGTTAGTGTTCACTTCGTCTGCAAGTTGAAAAGTTATACCGCTGCAGGGCACGTCCTACGTTGGGGGACCCACGGGAGTCGCTTTGGTCGCTTTACGGAAGGGATCGTATTTGGTTTGAGACAATTTTTTTCCATAATTGATTTTTCCTGTTTCACTGATTCTATATCCCCTCGCCTCCCCTCATTCTTAACCCTCCCCTGCTCCCTCCCAAGTTGACGGCAAAATTTTTGGGGAAAACTGGAAAATTTTCGGGATTTATCGGAAAGAAAGAATGCTGGGAAAAATTGGAGGAGGGGGTCGTAGCAGAGGGATGAAAGTGGTAGGGGTCGTATTTTCCGAAGATTCTCCACAGCGGCAGGATGCGCCCAGTACCGCCGTTATCTGCGCTGCTCCTCTTTGCTCTCTCACCGAGATAGTGTCGAGCGGGTCTTATTAAAGGCAGTTGGCACGATAATCCCCCAAGGCGACTAGGATCAATACTGAAGACAGGATAGAATTCCGCGACCCTGGGCAGGCGCTGCATAGCGGTTTCCCGAGGAAGGTGCCCTTATAAGGGCCCTATCAAGCCACAACTTTACGTCCCAAACGCCCGCCCACAAATGGACGACCGTTCCTGACGCTCGTATTCATTCATTTGCTAAGCAAATTATGAAGCGAAGGGATTGGTATGAAGCGGCCGTGATGCTGCATGCATACATGGGTACACATATGCAGCCGTATCTTCGGTAGCGGTGATTGGTAAGATGCCTACGGGAAACTCGGAAACTCGTCCGAAATCGATTTTCAAGTCACTGAGAACGGAGGCTTTTTCTTCGCAGGATTTTGACCGTTTCACTCCGTTCTTTCGCCATTTCCCCACTATACAGCGCCCTACTAGCATTTTAGGCTAAGTAGGAAACCATCGTGCCAACTGCCTTTAAGACTGTGTGAGGCGTCTCCCGAAGGGACTTCTTGCGTGAAACCTGGAATCACCTGTTCGACATCAACAAAGCAGGTCAATGGCCTCAAAATCAACGAGCGCTGTCTTGCGCTGTAAGCCATACATACCTACTTGTCTGAAAAGGAGCGCAGGCAAGCAGTGCGTGTGGCGTATGGCATGACCGTGTGGCGCGTCGAGTGACGAGCCGAGGCTTCACTGCTTGCCTCCACTTGCTTCCACCTTCTTAGCCAAGCACTCTGTAGTGGCAGTGCTACACTTCGACAGTTGCGGATCTGCCCACTCGTTATACAAAAAGGATCTCGACTCTCGCCTCATCGAACACAGTGTCTTGATCACCGGTAGAGGGAGCTCTCACTCACTGCCAGTAGTTAATTTCAGGCCAAGTAAATCACTCGTTCACAACTGATCTCCTGAACCAGATCCTATTCGCTGAGCAGTCTTTCCGTAGCGAACTATCCGCGCTAATCACTCGAATCAGGGCAGAACGATATGGATGGTTACCGGTCTCAAATCATGCTCCTCAAACCGTGAGCAAAGAACCGATGCTATTGTTCTCCCTCATGGTAGGGTTTAAAGTGTTTTCAAGCGTTATCTGGTGATTATCATAGGAGCTTTCAGGTGAAAGGACAGGGAGTGCCCTGGTTACAACTCACGGCAGCTACTCCGACAGCAACTGCTGTTCGTTTTACTATTGAGAGCTTGGATGCCGAGTTGACAAATCGTTGGGTAGGTATAGCACTTTATCCGTGGGATAGTTGTAAATTATAGTAGTAGTATCGCTCGGGTACATTAATGTTTCATTTTTCTTACTTCTGAATGGTTCCTAAATGCAACCTTTTTCGCTGCAGGTGTTGGGTAGGGCGCGCTAAGAAGCTGAGCTTGGCGCGGCGCCGACCTGTTCTTCAGCAATTGTTCAAGCACGCAAGTGACAAGATTAAGTGGAAAATGGGCTGTCGCCGCTCCGAATCTAGCCCCCACCTGACAACCACAGCATCTGCAGCGAACAAGACTTCCCGGCGAGGGAGTGTAAACAGGCGTGTATGGCGTAGAACGTGGCCGTCTGGCGGCATGTACTAATCGAATGGCATGTACTAAATGTGGAATAAGCACGCATGGTAGACTTGAATACAAATTGGCCTCAACTCGACGGTAAAGAGGGCGTAGCTGCGCTCGCCATTTGACTTCAACGTAGGATGTGATTTTGGTGGGATATGTCCATTTTGGTATGCTATATTGTACTGAACAAATTCATTATTTGAATGACCTCAAAAAGGGAATATCCCACCGAAAGGTCAGTCGCTGCCGCGTTCAAATGAAGGGTGCGCCACGCCTATCCCTTCTCTGAGAAATGGAGTGTAGGTTTCGTTCTATTAGACCACGAGCTCAATTTCCTGAAGAACATGGGCGCGAGGTTTACATTCAAAGCGGTGATCAGCTCTGCGCAAACCTGGGTTGTATGTCATCGGCGATATTGGCTATGGGAATCTTAATCGTTTGCGTACGACTGGAACCTGTTTCATCACAAGGACACTGTGGGAGGTTTTGTATATTGGCCTAGTAAGGTGATCTATTTGCGAATGGGGGCGTTTTCCCCACATTTTAGCGAGTGTATTTCATCGGCGATATTTGTCTGCAGATAAGATCAACCAATGCTCTCGACCGTAGTGATAATGGGTTGTAAGTTGTATAAAAAAAGATAGAGCTTCTTCAAATCTCATGGACTTCCATGTAGGCTCAAAGATGTATGTCACCAGCTATTTTCTACAGGAGCCATGGATCAGTCATCTCGAGGGGAAGCGAAATCTGTGCGAATTAGAATGATGATTGAGGTAACATCAAGTAGGGATACTTCTTCTCCCTAGCGTTAGTCCCGCGCCGTCGCAGGGTCCGCTGTTCTTGTTAGACGTCGCCACTTGTTCCGATCCACTGCATCTTCTGCCGTGGCTTTCACTTCAGTGAGGTCCTTCTTGATGACGTCCCTCCATCTTTTCTTTGGGGCTCCTCGCTTGCCCTCTGCTTCGAATTCCAATGCCTTCCTTATTGGGTGGTCCTCAGGCCTTCTCAGTACGTGCCCATACCATCGCAGTCGCTGCTCTCGTGCCTTCAGCTGGATCGGAGCGTCTGTGTGACCGCCCTGACGTCCTCGTT